AGAATGGCATCCAATAATATAATAGAATAAAAGTACCCGATGGCGATCTCGGATCACGAGGAATTCATGTCCAAAGAAGGTGTTGTGCAACTACACTAATTTTTTAAAAAGTTTGTCTGAAAGGTTTTTTGCCATTTTCTCCATAATTTTCGAATAAAAGCATCCATCCTCAATGTACGCGAATGGCTGACATTTGTATCTGAAAATTTTTGAGTGTAAACTATCTAACACGGTTCTTCTTTGTCTTACCGAATAAGCCGAGTCTCCATACTTTTTTGAATCGCTTTAGCAAATAGTTCTTATTTGGTGAAATAGTCGAAGAACTTTTATTAAGGTTTTTGAGGTGGACGAGAGGGTGCATGACTGAGGCGGACGATAGCAGTGCAAGTTCCTTCGATGAGCCTGTATTTGCTGTAGGCGAGGTATGTAAGATAAGTATCTACCACGACCCAACCTTTCCCTTTATATTTGCTATTCCTACTGAGGAAGCATGCCTAACTGTTTCCTTCATTCCTTAACGATTGTTTATTTCTAGGAACCTGAAACTCAGGCCATCGACTTTGACGACGAACCAGAAGAAGTGGAGCCAAACGATAACGATAGCCCTTTCATTGAGCAACTACCACCAACACCACCCCCACAACCTGCTACTATTGTCATCGAGGTTCAACCTATTACACTACCGACTACTCCGAGCAAAATTGCGCAGTTTGCTAGCAAAATGGGAATGGTTCCGGAGAAGGTGCTGATTTTACTCACTCTATTTTTTTCCTCTCTACGCTATTTCGATTCGTCTCATTTTTCTAGTTGCATTTACTTTTACTGAGAGTATGAATTGTGGACTCTATAGCGTTCAGTTGTTCCAGACGCCAGAAGTGCCTAACGTACAAGAAGCAATGGATGAGAGACCTTCTACAAGTGTTTTGAAAAGAAGTGCCAAAATCATCTTGAGTCCTTCAAAGACAATAAAAAGGAAACGGTCAGTTTGGTTTCTTTTGCAGGATTGCGATTGATAGTGCTGTTCCATTTTCTCTGTTCCAAAAGCAATTTTGAATTTCGCTGCAACTTTGTCAGGGCAAGTTTGTGCTAAACACGAATGAA